TTGGATTCTCGGATTTGGTAGACAGTCCTCACAGTGTTTCCCCAAAATAATTCAGGTAGAAAAAACAGGATAGAAAAAGACTGTGAGGGGCACCCCTACCCTAAACTTCCTGAAGTGTTCAGATTTATAAGAGGATGAAAATTCCCTTAGAAATAAAGAGATAAACTGAAGTTTGTCTTAACTTTGCAAGTGGTAATGTTTTAAAGAATCGGATATAAATTATGCTACCTAACATATCAAAAATTTCTACTGCGAGTACAATATTGCAATACATAAAGTAAACAGCCATCTCCTCTTTACACTTCACTGATTCACAACCCAGCTTACCCAAACATTTTAAAATTGCAAAGCATATTAAATTGCAAAGAAAAAATTGCACTGAAAGAGAAAAGAGCATTCATCAAACCATTATTTCATTTCAAGCTGTCAGTACAGCTACTGTTGGTAATCTTGGATGACTAACGTGAGAAACCAGATAACCCAGCACCCCACCCTCTTTCCACAATCTGTAATTTATCTTATATTTTCATAACAACATAGCATTTCTCACTCAATATTACCAAACTAGATCACTCATCGGTAAAAGGTACGAAACTACTGAAAAAATTTTAACATTCAACCATCTAAATATAATCTTAATTCCAGCCAAGGCAAGAAGAAAATACTTACTTTCTCCTGCAGTTTGAACTGCTAATCTGCACATAAAAAGCTTAGGTGCAATGCCTGACTACTATGTCCAACATGAAGCTGAATGTGAAAAAACGAGCTGCCTCGGTTCACTTGTAAAGGTCAAACAGCAAAAGAAAGGGATGGTTTTGCCTGTTTGACCACTGCTTTGCTTAGTTCCTCATTTGACTCTCTCCATTTGCAAGAGTATTTCACAATGCACTTGAGTAATGGTATGTCAGTACATGTCTGCAAGACGACGACCATATTATCTTTCTTTCAGGAAAACAGAATAGAAATCTTTAAAAATAGTCTGATTTGCACAGTAAGCAAATACCAGCTACAAAGAATTGAGGTTTTGTTTAGTTCTAGGTTTCACATTATACCCTTGGCATACATGAATGATATGATCTTTAATTGATCCAATACGATTGGTGAAACAGTCTGGCACCCTTACAAGTAACTATTCCTTCTTGTTACATCTAAGTGCTGCATGACCTGGTAAGGTAACCCACTGGGCATGCAAAACCATGACAATATATAAAGCTAGATTTCAGAGAGGTCTCTGCATGTGAACGCTACATAAATTATAAATCAACTGTTTTGGAGCCTAAGTGATGTTTAAATATCCATAATGCATTATAGCTCTTGATGATTTAAACATGTTTGCATTAATAATAAAAGAGATTTCAAAGATCAAATTTAAGACTGAAGTACATCAGAGCTAGTATCGAAGAAGCAAACGGGGCAAATAACACATTCCACTGACAACAGGCACAGTTTGGGAAAAACACAAGAAATAGATTAATAAGGCATCAGGCCTAGGCATTCCTATATCCAGCAGGCTGTGATGCACTACGTTTCTGAATCCAACTCCAAAATGCTTCAATCTAAGATAGTTAGGTACAACTACAAGGGAAAAAATAGCTGAACAAACAATATTAATGCAACTACGATCCTTTTTAATATAAGTCCATCAAACTTATAAAGTCAAAGTGACAACTGAGGCTGAATTATTGGGGTTTTTTTTCCAAACATCTCTCCTTATCCAGCTGCCATCCTTTAAAGCAACCTAAATATTTTGCAGAGCTATCTTCCAACTAAACAAACTTCCTTTAGATACTGGTAGTACATATATAAAATAATGTCTATAAGCAGCAAGATGAGCTGATCAAAACAATGAATTATGTCAGCTAGTAAGCAAACATCAAATTCTGCTCTGGTTTAATCAGTGCAGAACTGATCAAGAAGGTAGTTTACTATTCACGCAAAGGGAAAAAAAAATAGACAAATACAGAAATAGTAGGCTGCAGAGACAGATTACATGCTTTCCTTCTCTGTTGGATATCTGATATAAGAAAGCCATCTAGTGTTAACTTTTAGAAGTGAAAATTGCGCACAATAGAGCTCGGGAGAATTCAAATGTGCAATTCTCTTTAACTTTGCCCGTCTTCTGCATCGTAAGAAATAAAACTCGTTTCCTCTAGAAAAGCCAGCCTGAAAGCAAATATTCAAACTACTAACGTGTTAAAATAATCCAGCGTCAAGTACTAAGCTAGGTTACTGACCTACTTGGTGAACGTTGATAGCCATATCTGGAATTTGTCAACTTCAGAGTTGTCTTTGTCAAGACTGCGTAACGCTACTTCCACATTCACACGGACATAGACCGCCGCAGCAAAACGCTGCGGAGCACCACGGAAGAGGTACACGGCCAGGAGAATAAAGTCTACAGCAAAGTCGATCTCAGCTGTCACTTAACGAATCAAATACCAAGTTTGGAGAACGGACCACTGAACACGTATCAGAGCATTACAAGATAACAAAGAGTGCAAAAGGATACAGGTTGCGCCTCGTCCACGGTAACAGAATAAATAGCATTAAAATCACTTAAGGAAACTGCGCGGGCTAAAGAATCTTTCCCTCTGCTACCCCAGACGCTGGGCGGTCCCGATCGCACCGTCTCCGCTCTGAAAACCAGCTATGCCCCAGAGATGTCCGACCCAGGCAAACTTACTCCGCAATTGCCGCGATTCTTTAAGTGGGCTTCAGAGGCGGAAGCATCGTGACTGGGCGCGGGGCTCTTCCAGCCGGCGGCAGAACCGCCCTGCAGGTGACTGGCGACCCCATTTACGCCCCTGCCGCCCCCACGGCCATTATTTATGTAGCAGATCACAACGCTATTTATAAAGGCGACGCGCGGGAGCGAGCCACCCCGCTCCGGCGCGGCGGGGACGGCGCCGCGGC